TAGGCCGATATGGCTAGGAACTATACTCTCATTCCGGCGTAATAATCAAGGAACTTTGCTGCCATACTATGGGTGCAGCAGGTGCAATGATATTATGCAGTGCCTGAAAATAATCCCCAGCACACTCCCTGTGCAAGCAGGTGGTCACGTTGGTTATGTTGACGGAAGTTAGCCTATTTTCAGGCACTGCATAATATCATTGCGCCTACTGCACCCATAGTACGGCAGAAAAGTTCCTTGATTATTATGCCGGAATGAGAGAGTATAGTTCCTAGCCATATCGGCCTAGAAAATCGCAACTTTTCATTTTCCGTCGATCTTAGTACACGATGTAACTACTGAAGAGCCAAGTTTTAAATTTGAAAAGTCAAAAAACATCGAAACTCTTTGGTCATTTTTGAGCGACATGCTAACGGTCTAATCAGATTCAATGATCTATGCTAAGCTACAGCTAAAAGTGCTACCGCCAGACCCGGAGATCGGCTGAATGGATTCGAAAACAGTAAAACTCAACTGTTTAACTCTAGGGGAGTTGGAAAATGAGCCTATTTTCAAAAATAGTGGAGTGTTCCTTTAAACAACAAGTTTTGTTACCTTTGTCATTTTCTGTGTTGATTGTTTCCAACATTTTAATCATTTACTCTCAAGTGTTAAATATGTAGCCTGACAATTTGACATAGCCCAAAGAAAAATAAAAAATATTTTTTTATTATAATAATAATTATTATTAATCATAAAGCATTATATATATTGTATATATATATATTAATTGTATATATTCTATTTTTGATTTAATTGATATTTTAAATAATGCTTTATATTTATAATAGTTTGAATAACTCACAACATTTCATAATACATTTTCATTGTTGTAGAAATTATCATTACTTCATATTATTTTTATTATATTTTAGTTTTATTAAACTAAAATATGGTATATAATATTTTTTTTGTTTACAGTTTTAATTCATACATTTTTTTTTATTGGTGTGGTAAAATCACTTATTGCATCAAACAGTAAAAATTATGTTGGGGCAACTGTAGGAAATGTTTATAATTTTCTCACACTTGCCGAAAGTTTTTCACATACGTTTTTCTGCAAATGTATTTGTTATCTAACTTGTACAGTATTTGTAGCTTAAGTGTGGAAATACTTTCTGGGGCCACTGTTTGGCATTTATGATTTATACTGCATAATGATAGGAAGGTAGCATCTTAATCGTGACTCTGTGTATGTGTGTATGTCTGTTAGAGAAAGAGAGAGACCGAACTGTGAAGACAATGATTAGATCTTGTGGAAAAACAGGATATAAATGTACTTGTAGTTTTCAGGTACATGACAGTATACTAAAGCAAAACGTCAGTACTGTGTATGCAAAAGTTGCCTACAGCTATCACACAGACTCTACTGGCCTCCTGACATTGAGTTCTCTGCATATTGGTGTGTAGGACACGTACCGCAGGAGACAGATGCAGCCCACCGTCACGCGCCAGATGTCCTTTGACCTGACCAAGCTGCTGGTCACTGAAGACTGGTTCACAGACATCAGCCCTCAGACGATGAGGAGACTGCTCAACATAGTGTCAGTCACAGGTCAGTGTGACCTAATTATAATTATACTTCCATACATTCATTGTTGATTGTGGCGTGTTAAAGACATAAGTAGTGAGTTTACATATATATAAAAGTAATGAAGTGTCTTTTGATAGGTCGCCTACTTAGAGCCAATAAGATCATTTTTAATTGGGACCGACTAGCGTGGAGTGGCCGTATCGCACATCCTGGATCATTGTCTTTCTGGAGGAAACTGATGGAGTCTCAGACCAGGTCACACTGAAGACCATCTATATGAGAGGTCAGCTTACACGTCCTCTGTACCTCACATCAAACTTTAAGTATCATAACATATAAATATTATAATTGGGAATTTGAATGAAAATGTGTTAATTTAGTTCTTTATTTACATATATAGTTTTTACATGATTTAGTTATTTTTTATTTTTTTTATTTAGTTCCTTAATTATATTATGTATTAATTTAGTTAGTTCTCTAATTATTTAATTCTTTATTTAGTTCTTTTGGTTATTTATTTTTATTTACTTGGCTTGATTGATTTTAGTTAGCTATTTGTCCGTTCATTCAATTCTTTATTTATTTTTATCTATAATTTTAATTAATTAATTTATTCTATTATTTATTTATTTATTCATTCTATTATTTGGTTATTTCTTTTATTATTTGGTTATTTCTTTTATGTATTTCTTTAAGTTCTTTTAGTTATTCATCTATGATTTTTGCTCATTGTCTTGTTTAGTTTATTATTTAGTCCCTAATTTCTATTAATTAAATTATTTGTAATTTTACTATTATTCATTGTATTATTATTTATTAATATTATTTATATATTTTAGTTCTCTATTTGTCTATTATTTTATTTATTTATTTAACTCTCTTTCTTTAATTAATTCCATGATTTATTTATTTTAGTTATTTAATTCCAAAATTATTATCAATCATTAGCATTATTGTTTTAGTCCTTGGGACCTTTTCTGTTGATGCATATCACACAAAAATTAATTTACCGTATATACAATTAAATAGGTTTGTTCTAGTTGGTTGTGCTTTCAGTGTAATAATGCCTGCGACCTGCAGGTGGCAGTAGGAAATCTCTGTTCCTTCTATTTCGTTTTTGGTCCGCAGCACAATTCCTATAAATCAGGATGTCTCATTGGGTGTGAGGTACCATGAAGTATTTCAAGCTGTGATCTTTACTTTCATCTACTTACAGCAGTATTTTCATATATGACCAGCAAAACAAAAAGAATGATGCTCAGTCGCTGCCTGACTAACAGACTGTCACTCTTTAATAATTGTCTTATTTACTTGTTGTCGTCAAACATGCAACACACCATCACAGTTACATCTGCTGCATCCTCTCTAGAGGGTTTGATAAATGTGTGTGTGTGTGTGTAGCTGCTTTAAGGGGAGATGTTGTGGCCGTTAGGTTTGCTGATGCTCAGTGTTTGGCCTTTAAAGGTTGCTTTGTCACACTGCACTAACATGCTGTGACTCCAGGGGCTGTAGAAGTGTCAGAGCATCTCAGTGTCAGCATCTGCTCTCTCTCCCCATCGCTCTTTTTTCCCCAGCCCCCATGATGCCCTGTAGCACTATGTCTCACCCAATTTTCTCCTCTTTCATACCCCGAATTACACTTAATTTCCTCGTGTCCACACCAGCACTGCATTTCGGCGCAGGTGGGGGCAGTGGATCGTTCACTGTGAATGTTAAAATAGTGGCCTGTCGTGTTGTTCTGTTATCTGTCACAGATGTTGCTTAGATAAGAATCTGTCAAATCTACTGGTGCTTTTTTTCTTCCTTCTGTTGCACTCTCGAGGTCACGTGGCCACGCATTTGCTCGCTTTTTATAGAAATGAGGGTGAGTCACAGCGGCCAGCATAGACACAGGCCTGCATGTGTCCACTCGCTGTCCATGTTATCAGCCGTTTCTTATTTGGGTTAACATTGATTATAGCCACAAAGCTATATCTTGGTTCATTGCCAATGGGTTGTAGGCCTGTTGATCTCATGACTAGAGTGATCTGGATGGGCGTTTGGTCAGTATGTGGCAGAGGAGTGAGTAAGTTTCATAGGTCAGCTGTCATTCTGAATCGCAGGCACAGTCAATCGCTTGTGTTCTCGCGTTTGTGATAGTGTGTGAAGACCAATGGACTGATATAATTTGCTCAGGAAATGGACATGCTGTCTGTGTGTGTGTGTGTGTGTGTGTGTGTATGAGAGTGTGTGTGTGTTGCCCAGTTTAGCTTGGTTTTCTACATCCTTCTGCCTTTCTCTCAACACACACACACATTCCTAGAAGAGAGAAGTGGCGAAATCCCCTCTTTGTAACGTTGCTCCATGGTAGGTCATGATGAGGCTGTGCTCGCACAGTGCCTTTGTGTGTTTTCTGGTGTGTGTCTTGTTTGTTTGTGACACATTTCATTCATACCATTTGCACAACATAACCCTTAAAACCCACACCATAATGCAAGACACACCAACAACTCTTAGTGTGTCCTTGTAACTAAGAACTGGTCAGGATAGTTGACTAGTAAGCTATTTGATTATTGCGTTTGACTAGTTATCTATATTTTTCCTTCCTCCTTTGAGAATGTTTAGTGCACTAATGAGTTTGTTAGCACAGGAAACCCCTCTCAGAGAAGTTGCATCTGTAAATTCTTTTAATTTCCTTTAAAGCGCTGCTAAAAATATTAAAGGGGTCATGCTTTAAACTGCATTTTCTTTTTAATTTGATAAAGTTCTCTGAGGTCTACTTATAATGTTAGTAAGATTTTTACATAAAAAACAACATAATTTATTAGTAATAGGCTATTTTCTATCCTGTTTTTGACCCTCTCTTTAAAACTTTCAGTTTTGATTGGTGTGCCGCATTCTCAGAAGTAGACGCCAACTGCTATGATTGGGTAACAGTTTTGGATCTTAAAATAATAGATGGATGCAGCTGTGATTTTCTCTGAAAAAAAAGCATCAGTGGCACATGGTAAGAACGTGTTACTCACACTTGTGTGGACCCAATATATTTGGCACTGCCTCATCTTTTATTTTCAATCTCTCTGAAAAGCCTACATTGAACTGTGTCTTGTTTAAAAAGGAATCTGCAAAATTAAGCAAACAAATTAACAGTGTCTGTACACCGGACACGAGCGGAGTGGTGCAACTAAAGATAATACAACCCATCATAATCAGTGATTCTGTCTACACTGGATGTGGCGCAACACGACTAACCCCACGATAGTAATCTGATGGCCCATTCGATTTCTGACGTACGCCAAGAAATGCATTTGCGATGCAATGCAGCAACGGTCGCGCCCGGTGTAGACACCGTTTTAAGATCACAAGTAACCCTCGATCATCTTCTGTAGAGGCGGACTTTTGTCGCACTATTACATCATACTGAGACAAAATCCAGTATGAGATGGCTCCTTTTGGCAGCTTGGTTTCAATAAAAGCTGTTTTTGGACTAACAAGCAAGTTTTGAGTTCTGAAACTTACAGGATGTTTTTATAGTACAATGACCTCTTAGATGTCAAGAGATCAAGGGAAATTTCATTTCTCAATTCATGACCCCTTTAAAGTATAAAATTGTTGATAGCTTTGTCACATCTCGCTCTTTATGCAGCATCTCAACATGACTCTCACATGATAACACTTTTTAAAAATAAGTTACACTTTCTGAAGTTTGTCTGGAGACATGTGTATGAATATGAGAATATGTCCTGTGTGAACGCCCCCTAACAAACTGTGCCTGGTGGACATGACCCTAAACTTGAACAAAAAATATGAAGGGTTTCTTTAAGACTAACAGGTTAAATTAACAATTTAGTAGTAGTTTTGTGCACTTTATATGTATTGCACCTTGTATAGATTTAAAGTAAGTCAAAGATATCAGACAAAAAAAAATGTTAAGGGTGCATGTATAAAAAAAAATGACAAAAACAATAAAACTGTCAAATTGTGTAATATTATATATGCATTTGAAAGCATGACTCTGCTTTACATCTTCCAGTGAAACAAAATGTCATATTTGGGGGGATTTTTTTTTTATAGGAACTCATAGTCATAGTAATTAATCTCTAGTAATTTTAGTAATATTAGTCTTAGTAATGTATTTTATTTGAGACTATGGTTGTCACAATATTAACTTTTCACTAGTCAATGCCAATATCATTAAAATTTCATGACTCTTGATAATACTTGTTTCAAAAATTTAAATGTGCTTTTGAGCTGTAGTATGGAACTCGGTAGTATGGAAACAACTCTCCAGTTGCTCAGTGATCCGGCCCTTTAATCTGCACCAGAATGTGAATAATCTGTTAATAACATCAGCTTGTTTTATAATTAACATTTAGACAGGCTACAGTAATCCAACCGAGCAGGCAAAACACAAAGATTTCTGTGTCCTTAAGGTACACTGGCTTATAACCACCAGGTCTATAAACCACATAGGCCACCTGTGTTTGTACCTCTGTATTTTGAGTACCAATTACTCTTTCTCTTAGTCCACTCACCAAAAAGCCCAACATACCTAGACAAATTCAAAGGAAAATGTTCAACCAATTACCTTTCTGTCTGAAATTGACTCACGTCATTCTCAGTTTTACTGGTCTCAGGTTTACTGTACAGTTTTTATTTTTTATTTTTTGCCCATTCAGTCTGGGCTTAATGGTCTCCATGAGTCCGTGAGTCACAGTTGTTTTTGGTCTTAATGGCCAAGGATCGTGGAACGAACCAAAAGGAAGGGGGCCGTGGGGACTAATTAGCAGAACTAATTTTAATATTAGAAACCGTAGTAATATTACCTATAAAATAATAAATATATGAACAACTAATGGTATTAGTTAGTTGCCACATATATTAGCCTATGTATTTTTAAGCTATGATTCTCCCACGATTCTGAAAACAAAACAGCCAACCAAACGAAATTATGTAATTTACTTGAGTTTCTGACTAAATGTTTTATTAATGTTATAGTAAATGACTCTATTTAAAAATATTTATTAATTTCAAAGAATTAGCCTAATTATGTAAAAAAAATAATTTTAAATAAATGAAGACTTGTTTCGTTTTGAATCTCTCTTGAATGAATGATTCAGACATCAAATACATTTAACACTCACTGTTCGCCACCTACTGGAATAATGTAACGCATACAATCATTATTTGCAGCGTATCATTAGGCTACTTTCAAATACCCATTTTGATTGCGGCTCCCGCAACATCAGAGTCTACATCCGGACTTTAAACTTTTATCAATACTTTCGTTATTATTTAATGTTTGCAACACAGAAATGTAGCCTACTGTGTAAGTAGACTGTTTGTGAAGCTGTTTCAAACAAAGCTTTACATGATGAGCGCTGCTCTCTCTGGATCAGCGGCTGCGCAAAAGCAGGTTTAAATATTCTGATGTGATTGATTTCAAAGGTTTAATAGACATAGCAGAATCACCGTCATTTAGGATTAAGATCGCGTGTGTTTGAATCAAGATCGCAATCTTTTAATGATTAAACGTGCATACATAGGCTATAAGGCTCATATGTATTTTTCTATCCCATGTCATATTTGTACCAGACCTCAAAAGTAACCGGGCCCAGGCCCGGGCAGCTCCCCCGCTTCCGCGACCCATGTTTATGGCCATTATTTCGGACCTAGAATGACTTCGTTATAGTGAGACACATATAGGCCGTTTTACCATAAAAAGCAAACAGGCGGAAGTCCAAATGGAAAGCGAGTGAGTGAGAGAGACGTTGTGGTGGCTGATGGCCATGATCTGTAGTGGACTTTTTGAGCAGAGTCAGATCCACCGGGAGTTTATTTATGGCACTTTGCACCAGTTTTGTGCTTGTTATGAGGTGTGGCCCGCCGAGCCGGTTCTGTTCTGACATCTGGTGTCCGGCTTGTGCCAGGATGGTATGACAGAACCTGAGTGGGCCGGGTAACATGCCCAGCCCGCACTCTCCTTATCAGCCGGCTCTGGCCCTGTAACATATGTCCCCTCCTCCCCTACTCAGAGAGCGGCCCTTGTTAATTAACCCACCAAGAGAGTTGGCGTGGCGCACTCCAAAATGACCAATCGCTGGAGGGATTCAATGTGATCGCGCATGAAGGAGGACACGCCCCTTCACCTTTTCGTCCACACCTCCCGCACCTCTCGGCGTCTTCTTGGCATGCCAACTCGTGGCATTCACCGGTGAAAGAAAAAGAACATGGAAGCCCTTCCGCTTTCCGAAAAGCTCATCCCTCTCACAATGCTTCTTGTCACAATGCTCGGCTTATTCATTGAGGGAACAATTGGCTCTCAGTGCTGGGCTTCAAATCCAGGATTTAAAGTGATTTTTAGTGAAACTTTCTAACTAATGACACTCGAAAAGAAATGCATGCGAGACTATTGGAGCTAATTAGACAGACTCTTCTCCCAAGTACTGAAACATTAAGATGACATACTGTTCATTCAGGATTACTTTAATTGGTACAATTATTGTAATTTTAGTCGCAATTACGTCGTGAGATAAAAGTGCCTTCTGAAGCACATTTATGTGATTTCCTTTGTGCGAAAAGCCTAATAAGCCTTTAAATAATTCTTCTGAAATGTACACAGCTTCCTTTATTCTGCTCTTTTGAACCCCTTTGCCTTTGAGTTGGGACTTCTCACTTTTCTGTGAATTTGTATTTTTGTCACGTACCAGTTTTGTCTCTAGCATCTCGATGTGTTTTCTCCTCCGCCTTTGGAGGGAAGCTATTGTCTGTGAACCTGATCCTTCAAGAACTCTTTGGTGGAAGAGGTAAACTTAGTAATTTAAAAAGTGCAGCCATTATTTGCCCAGAGGCCCTATAAATGATTAGGCTGTTGAAAGCCCATCTATTCCCTAAAGGAGAGAAGCCCAATCTAAGATAGGGAGTGCATTTATTGGGTGCACAAAGTGACCTCCAGATGGATGAGATGAGTTTGAAACTGGGGAAGAGGTTGTGGGCTGCACAGTGGGATTTAAAGTCGCTCTTTGGATTGTTCCTGCGTTGTGCCGTGAGGTCCATTTTCATGGCCGTTGTTCTGAATAAAAGAAAGGCCATCATGCTGGCTCGCATGTGTCAAGGCTAATTATTTATCCATTAATCACTAAGTTTCCAGGGAACTGAAGTTGTCACCCGGAACCCTAAGGTGTTGTGTCAGCAAATCTGAGCAGAGAAACTTAGTGTGAAACTAAAAGGATGTACTCAATAACATGTCACTGTTGTGGCTAAGACTGAAATTCATGTGTGATGCAACTCTAAGGTAGAGACATTATAAAGGGTTTTGCAGAAAGATGATGGCCTACTTAAAGACTAAAGACCGCAAGATCTTGATCAGTTGAGACTGATATTTACGTTAAGCAAGAGTAGTATGCTTTAAATGGTTCCTTACTGCTTTTTGTGATATGAACTTTTTAAACCAGCTAAAACTCAGATGAACCGGCTTGTTTGTCCAATTAAATCTGTCCTGGTTGAGTAAATCCTGGAGTAACGTCCTCTTTCTTTTTCTTTAGATAAATCAAGTACAGGTAACTTCGGACCTCCTTGTCACATACATTATTGTTGTTTCAACCTTTGTCAGTTAATTTCACTTTTTTTTCCGTTGTCGTCTTCTTGCGGCCCAGCTGTTGAGCGTTGTGGACGAGGTTGGAGTGTGTACACCTAGTGGACCCTCCAGTTACCACAGCCAATTCCAGGAAGATGTGCAGAGGACATGCACAGAAAAGTCAAAAAGTACATGTTTGGAAAGATGTTTTTACCCTTTGATCAGATTATGATTAATCATAAGGATTCTGTTCTAGATGTCCCTTGGTATGTATAAAAATAGAAAGCCATCACTTTGATCGAGTTACTGTGTCTAATCAATCTATTTTGGGCAATGTTCCTCTCAAAGCTTTACCTGCCAGTAACCAACATCATTAGACTTAGATCTATAAATATCTATTGTTTTCCAGAATAATTGTGTTCCACTGCTTCTCAGGGGTAGCGCTCAGCTTTCATCAATGGGGAAAAAAATCCCATGGAAGTTCATTAGAGTTTTTTTATGCTTCTGGGCAAGATGCTTTTGCTTACAGATGGGTTTACTCATTTCTCAAAGTTTGGCTGTCAGTTTGGAGGTTTCTCTGGGTTCTTGCACTTCTTAGTTCATCTCAGGCTTATGTATTTGTGATTTACAACTCACTGCAAGAGATAAGAGATAAAAATTGACAAAGATGTTGAACGAATTGGGATGTGAATACAACTTCTTGGAGTGAAAATCTACTCCGTTCACCACTCCCAAGATGCCATAATATAGAAGCAAACTCCACGTCTCAGGCCACCATTCCCACCTCTTTTAGCACTTCACGGTCGCCACCGCCCACCTATCATACAAAACACTATGACTAGTGATGACTTTTGTTCTTTTCATGGTGGGCATGTCGATTCTCATTATGGAGCTCAGAAAAGAAATGTGTGTTGGCATTACGCATCTTTGGGCCCATTGAGCCTCATTTATGAAGGCTGTTGTGTTTGTGGGAGAGAAAAAAATATCTACAAGTTTGCAACTTTTGTCTGTGACTTCAGATTTACTGATACACATGTGTGGCTATTCTCTACAACTACAAATTCCGCTGTCACGGTCACTCAGTTGTTTTGCACCAAAAATACCTTCATACTCATTGAGCTTCCTCAAACTGTCCACACAAGGGTGGCTGTAAGCAAAGTCAAGTGCCACATTCAGCACCCGGCCAAAGGGGAAAATAGTGGGAGAATTATACTCTTTCCCATCAGCTGCTGTGTGTGGGAGTCTTTGAAAAAGAAGAAGAGGAGGAAGAAAAAAAGAGCTAAGCCAGCTTTGGGATCGATTAGCATTTGGATAAACCCGATGAGAGACCTCTCAAGTGGCCAACATTTAAGGCAGCCATGCCGCTAGCCGAACGACGCAACACGGCCCCGATCAATAGCAGTATTGTTTGAGACGCTTTTGGTATTCTTGATGTGCTTTTATCTTTGTGTGAACTCTTTAAAACGGCAAGTATCTTAAACAGAGCTTAATTTCCCTTACTCCCAGTGCTTCCATGACAGATGAATGATAGCACTTTTTTCCTTTGCAATTTTCTCTCGTAGCAAAAGCAAGAATGTCAAATGTAATTGCTAAACAAATCACTTGATGTCAAAGCCAACTTCTTCTCCCACCAGCTTCAAAAGCTCTCTTTTTCTGGTGGAAGAATTACATCAGCCTCAATTGATTATAAATAGTATTCTTAGCATGCTGTAACAGAAGATGTGTACAACTGGGGAAAGATTAGCTTTCTCTTGGCCACGGCCTGATGTTTGTGTCTGTATATGAATTGTGCGCGACGACTAATTTGACTGTCGTTTAAACGAAAGTTTTGTATCCGATTAGTCGACTAATCTAAAAGTAAGAAACCCCCAAAAGAACCCCTCTGTGCATGCGTGTAGCATATATAATAGCCTATATTTGAAATACTTAATCTATGAATCACACTGTCAAATCCCTCAATGAATTCCGCTTGCCGCACACTTGCCTCGCGGTATCATCATTTAATTTTAGGCGGTCGTTAAAAAGAAAAAAAAGAAATGCATACACTCAACGTCGGCCAAAGCATAGCTTATTTATTCAAATCCGCTGGGGAAATGCAGAACAATGGAAAATCAATCAATAGCCTGACAGAATTCTTACGGCGCGGACGGGATCGCAGCGCCGGCGGGTTGTAGTGAATGACGGGGTTGACATTTGCTGGCTTTGGCCAGCCTCTAAGCTAACGCTTGTTCAGTGAAATTATCAACGTGGTCTGGTGAAAGACGGGACCTGAGGCGATTAACAATAAAATTACCGCACTTGAAAAAACGCGCTCGGCAGGAACTGAAGTCGCAGGCACGCAGAGATAACGAAAAGCAAGCCGATAGAGTTTCAGAAAGCGGCTGGAAGTGGGTGGGTGTTCGTTAGAGGAATAGACGGCGCGGACGGGATCGCAGCGCCGGCGGGTTGTAGTGAATGACGGGGTTGACATTTGCTGGCTTTGGCCAGCCTCTAAGCTAACGCACGTGCCTGTATTGAATATGATTACACATCGCTCCAGTAGAGTTATTGTAAGATAATTTGACATTACACAGTTTACACACAATTTTTCCGTTTCCTTCTAATTCAAAATAATCCCACACCTTGCTTGTCTTTCGCATGGTCATTTTTTAACTCGCCGCAACTGACACGAAAAAAACGCATGTGAGGTCTGAGGTAAAAATGTAGTTTTGCCCAGACAAACTTTTAAAAATAATGTATTGTTTTTCAAAAGTTTTATTTTAACTTGTTATTTAAAATTTTTTTCAAAAGTTTTATTTTAACTTGTTATTTAAAATGTTTTAAATGCAATGTTAAAATGATGGTAATTTGAATGATAAAATCATGTTGTTGTTTTTTTTGTTTTTTTTTTCTGTTGTGTAATCGACTATTGTTTTCAGTGTCGACTAGTAGGAGCTGTACCGTTTAGTCGACAAGTCGACTAGACCCGCACATCCCTAGTTGAATACAAATACTAGAAATAGTGGGTTTGGGGTGGAATTAGCTTGCTTCACTGCCTACTGTGTCTCATAAAATTACCTGTAACTGCTTATATCACATCCATATCCATATTGTCGCTGTCTAATTAAAAACACACATCTTCACTTTTGCCAATTTAGAATTTTTACCGCGTCTTTCGCATGGTCATTTTTTAACTCGCCGCAACTGACACGAAAAAAACGCATGTGAGGTCTGAGGTAAAAATGTAGTTTCGCCCAGATAAACTTTTAAAAATAATGTATTGTTTTTCAAAAGTTTTATTTTAACTTGTTATTTAAAATTTTTTAAATGCAATGTTAAAATGATGGTAATTTGAATGATAAAATCATGTTTTTGTTTTTGTTTTGTTTTTCTGTTGTGTAATCGACTATTGTTTTCAGTGTCGACTAGTAGGAGCTGTACCGTTTAGTCGACAAGTCGACTAGACCCGCACATCCCTAGTTGAATACAAATACTAGAAATAGTGGGTTTGGGGTGGAATTAGCTTGCTTCACTGCCTACTGTGTCTCATAAAATTACCTGTAACTGCTTATATCACATCCATATCCATATTGTCGCTGTCTAATTAAAAACACACATCTTCACTTTTGCCAATTTAGAATTTTTACCGCAGACTGAATGCGCTGAAGGCCTGCTGTTTGAATTGTGCATCATAATGACCAATAAAATGGTGTTTAATCAAGTTAACCGTTTAACAATTATCTTCACTGGCCATGAGAAAACCACGCATCTCTCAGTCTTATGTTTTTAAGAGCATCTTCACAAAACTGTTAGTAGAACCTAATTCTGGCAATAGATGCATCTGACTAAAGTCTGACTGAGACTTTATATTCACTGAAGTATCTCTTTTTCACACACTACTCTTCAAATTTTTTTTTTTGAAAGAATTCCTATATGCTCACCAAGGCTACATTTATTTGATCAAAAGCAGTAGGATTGTGAAATGGTATTGTAATTAAAATAACCTTTCTATTTTATATAATAATAGAATTTTCAGCAGCCATTACTTCAGTCTTCAGTGTCATATGATACTTTGGAAATGCTGATTTGGTGCTCAAGAAAAATTTCTTATCAGTGTTGAAAACAGTTGTGTGAACAGAAGGTTCAAAAGAACAGCATTTGTATGAAATAGAAGCCTTTTGTAACATTATAAATGTCTCTTTTGATCAAGTTATTGTGTCCTTGCCGAAAATGAAGTCTTTTAATTTATCTTTTAAAATATTAATAGAAAGATAGCGTATATTAAAATGCCTTAGTAAGAGTATATTGGTAATTTTTTTGTCTTTTTTTTATTCATTCTATTCATTCTTTCAACTCATTTATTAAATTATAAAAAGTTGGTTGATATTATATTTTGAAATGAAATTACTTGAATTGATCTCATCCTCCTCTGTTCATTTTAAAGATTTTAAAGGGGTCATGAACTGCCTTTTTTATTTTATTATTATTATTTACAGTATTATTTTGTACTGTTCTCTGAGGTCCACTTATAACATTATTTTTACATTAAAAAACATCATAATTTAGTAGTAATAGGCTGTTTTCTGTCCTGTTTTGACCCCCCTCATCAGAACGCTCTGTTTGAATAAGCGTGGCAGATTGTAGACTTGGAAACACCCACTGGTATGATTGGCTAACAGTTGTGTATGTTTGACAGCCTACATCCTTCATAGATAGATGCTGCTGTGATTTAGGTTAAAAACAGATAAATACTCAGTACATATCAAATGATCTGTAATAACAGACAAAGCAATAGTGACCACATAATAAAAAACAGCTACTCAACACTTGTGTGGTGTGACATTACTGTCAGATCCAATATATTCGGCACAGCATTGTCTTTTAGTTTCAATCTTTCAGAAAATCCTGGGTCAAATTATGCCTGGTTTGTAAACGAATCCGCAGTAAAATGAAGTGAACAAAGGACCAAGTTCTTACTGACACGGTCTGGAACGTCATTAAAAATAAAGCTTACAAAATAAAGTTGCCATACAAAGACTGCTTTTCCACAACTTGGCATTGAACAGTGTCTTGTTGTCTTCAGAGCCAACTTTATCGTTTTGTTTCTGTGTAGACCTGCGTTTGCCTCTCTAGTTATTTACACATGCGCGGATCAGTGGGCAGGGCTAAACAGGCAGTGATGTAGAAGCAGGCGTTGATGATCGTCTTCAGAGGCGGGGTTTAGCCACACTATTACATCATACGTCGTTTTGGCAGATTGGCTTCAAAATAAGCTGTTTGTAGACTAATGGGAAAGTTTTGAGTTCTGAAACTTACAGGATGTTTTTTATAGTGCAATGACCACTTACATGTCAAAAGATCAAGGGAATTTTGTTTTCTCAGTTTATGACCCCTTTAATAAAAAAGCGAAATGGCCAGAAAAAAACCCAGTCTGACTAACACAAAAGGCTGAAATGAAGACGCAGGGACCTGGCACATAGATTTTTTGTTGTGTAGGGATATGGCCTGGTCTGGCTAAGAGTGAAAATTCCCCTGTAGGCCTGCAGATGTGTCTCTTCCTCCTTGTCTGGTTAGTCTTGTTTTAGCCAGTCATTGGAATGACATCTTCATTCTGATGTGTTTATGTACGCCTCGGATGTTTTAGTCTGGGTGTTGTGTTTGGACGAGGCCTGTGTCGGGGTGTTTGCGCTGTCACACTACACGCCAGATTAAATACAGCAGCTTTCTCATCAACTGCTCCCTGCACGCTATTGAATGTATGTGTGTTTATTTTTGTATTCTATAAACAAGTCAATGATAAACATCTCTATTTAGAATTACATGATTACAAACCTTTCATTATGGACATCCAATTTAAAGTTACTACTAAAACTGTGGTGCAATTTGTGCTGTCATTATAGCTTTGAAAATAGCCATATATTGGGTTTCATAAAGACATAAGCTTAACATTTTCACTCTTGAAATGTTACACTGATTTCATGTTCTGCTATTGTTTTTAAAGAAAGATTTCAAATGGTTCAGAAGTATTATATAAAATGTTCTTTGAATCAAGGTTTTAAACTTAACTCTATTCCAATTAAATACACAAATCTTATATCAACGCATCAGTAATAATTAAAAATATTATGGAATTTATTATTATTGTTTGTAGTAGTAGTAGTAGTATTTTATTATTTAATGTTATTAATAATGAAACTTTATTAATGTTAAAAAATAATAAATTAAACAAATGATTGTTCTTGTTATTTAATCTTAATTTATGTTTCATTTGTTAGTAATGTATATTTGATTTAATATTATTATAAAGTTAAATAGAAATTAATTTTAGTAATAACAATTTTATTATTATTAAATGTTAGTAATAATAATAAATTGCATAATATATATTATTATTACCATTATTATTACTTAATGTTAATGTTAATAATAATAATAAATTAAATAAATTTGTCTTTGTCGTCTTCTTCTGAAATCTGTAAAATTCAAACCTCTGTTCCAAATAAATTTGATCAATTATCGTGTCTGTCAGGCAGTCTCATCTTGTCTTAGCAATATGGACCAGACTCAAAGGCAAGTCAAAAGTCTGGCTGTGTGAGACTATGCTTGCCTTAGCAAACACTGTTAATTCATAGATCATTAATCGAATATGTGTAAGAGGCACATACTTGGCTACAAAGAATTGTATAATATTTTTGGATCCTTCTTAAATGTTCTTCCTTCTCTAAAGCAGGTTCCTTTAAAGCATAGGCCGTGGAAAGTGTGTGTGTGTGTCTTGTGACAGAGGAAGTTGGTTCTCTAGAGAGGCTCTTGTCACTGGCTCCTGTTTGTCTGTGAGCATGCTCACACACGCATACAAATAAACAAGCCCAGCTGGATTTCGGAAGAGACACAATCTGCCCAGTTCTGCTTAATCCAGTGCGTGGGAAATGAACCAAACCTCTCTCACCAGCACACGTTTCTCTTGTTCAGCCCTTCTTAAAATCATATTGTGAAATCTTGATAAAATTGAAAAAATTATTTTGAAAGATTATTGGAGTGTTTTACAAGAAAATACCATTTCAGTCTTTGTACTTAAAAATTCCACATTCAATTCAGTTTGTTACTTGTTGTTGTTTTCAATCAGAAATTGCTTGTAAATGTAAAACATAATTATAAAGGAAACCCTACACCAGTTTTTATTTCAGCCAAAACAATCTAAATAACATCACTGTCTCCATCAGCAAAACTATATACTTGGTATATTAGATCTCCTGAATTACACCCCCAATAAGTTCACTTATGAATGATTTCACTTGTAGGCGGAGCCTTGTGTCACTATTTTCATACTGTATGTAGAAATATCAAGGTCATAAATATTTTTATGATTTATCTTGTGAAATTTGAGGGATTTGTCATATATAATGTATTAGTTTTTCTATTTTATTTTTATTTGTGCTTTGTCTATTATTATTTTTATTTAGTTTGTTTTGACTATCATTCTAAGTTGGTTAATTTGAGATTTTCTTGTTTCATTTTGTCTTATGTATGCATATATGTATTTATTTATATAATTTGATGTATTGTTAATCAATTTGTGGCCATTTACATCTTATTTCAGTACATTTTGGTGTCATAAAAAATTATTTTTTAATTTTATTTAGTTTTCTATTTTGTTGTGTTGTTACTGTTAACTACAAAAACGAAACATTGTTTTCAGTAATTGAAATAAATAATGAATAAAATAAAATCCAAATTTTACATGAAAAACTAATGACTAACTGAAATTAAAAAAGTGTGTTTGCATGCTAAAATGACTAAAGCTAAAATAAAAATGAATTAAAGCTGTATTGAAATATTGTAAATAATACTTTTTTTTTTAAACTAAAAAGACAAAGGCTCATTTGCACAAAAAAACTTTAAGTGAAATTAAAACTGAAAATATAAAAATAAAAGCTAATTCAAAATATTAATAAATACTATACTAGTATATAAATAATACTTAAGTAGCACTGGATTTAACAATGATAACACTGATATGTGATTTATTCCACAACTTCCACAAATAATCTCAGCTGGATCATCCATGTTTGATGTTTATTATACATGAGGAGTGGAGTTTTGGTCCCGTGAGCTCTCGGTTTGAGCTGGAAATGCAGAAATAGAAACCAAACAACCAACACAATATAGAGTGGCTTTGTTGTATCTGGTTAGGATGCAGTGTAAATAGTTGTGCTATATCAGGTCAGAGGTCATGTTTCAGACACTCCTTCCAGGTGTGTATTGTCTCCCATTAAGATATCAGTGTTTGTTTACACTGCCTCACCACCTCAGTTTAGCAACAGGTCATCTGAGTGTCATTGTGTCATCTCTCTCCTGCCCAGTTTAAACAGCTCAAATCAAATTACTTAAACCGGTGGTATGGGACGGGGCCAAGCACTGAGCTCACCGGCTCGATCCGTATTAGTATCAGTAAAAAGGACTTATACCGACCAATAAGAAGATTCAGCAGAGAAGCAGAGAGACAGAGGCGTGGGTTGGGGGCAGATAAGAAGATAGACATTTTGCAGAACCCATACTTCTTCCTCTGTGTTCAGCAGAAACAGATCTTCAGATTTAGTTGATATGAATTTCCACGCTCAATAAGATAAATTGCAATGGGAAGGCATTTATCTGAAAGAGCCTGACATCGTGCTGCAGAAATAACTGCGGTAACCACATATACGCTCAAAACGTTGGGCTAAGAGTGTGCGCTTGTGACTAGTAAGCCAGTTTAGAGTAGATTTTCATGTTATTGATGATAATTAATACTAAATACTAATTTAATGCACACTGAAAGCAATCTGACCAAAAATCAATCTGTCAGTCAGTCAGTCTGAATCAATGTCAGAATGTCCTTTTTTATGAACCCCCAATGTTTATACTCTGGAACTGATTTTCAGGGGCATTTTGCCTTTATGAGGGAGTTTTTTTATAATTTGATTGACAATATATTATTTATTTATTTAGTTAGGTAGTGTTCATTTAACCCTCTTTTGCTGCTCGTGTGGCCATCAAAAATGATAAATGTACTAAATTATATTTATGAAAATAGTTATGGTCCATTTACATATTATCTGTTAACCACTTTTTGAGCACCTGAAAATTTGAGCAATTTCCATGCTTTGGAGTAGTGTTAATTTCGTTAACGAAGACTATGATGAAAAATGTTTGTTGACAAGCTTTTTTCCCCATGACAAAGAGGAGACGACAATAAGGCCAATAAACGATAACTACACTCTAAAAAATGCTGGGTTAAATACAACCCAGTGCTGTGTAAAATAGGGACAAACCCAGCAATTGGGTTGTTTTGACCCAGCGGTTGAGTTAAATGTTTAACCCAACTTTCTGGGTAGTAACCCAATCGCTGGGTCAAAACAGCCCAATTGCTGGGTTTGTCCCTGTTTTACCCAGCACTGGGTTGTATTTAACCCAGCATTTTTTAGAGTGTAAGGCTACTGTATATCAACATGCAATTTCGTTGACGAAATAAGACGAGACTAAAATGTATTCAAAAAGATAAAAACTTTACCAAAAACCTCTTTTTATTTTCATCAAAAAAGGAGACAAAATGTTATTGCAGACTGCTCTACACGCCTCTACTACTCATGCTTTCATGAGTGCGGTTGCCAGATATCAAGAGTTCTAATCCCCGAATCAGAGTGCCGCTGTTAAATTCATACATTTTCTGCCCGGGGTGTTTTGCTTATTTTAAGCAATCTGGAAATCTGCAAATTTAAGAAATCTTTAAGATCTCACTGTATTGTTTGCGATTGTGGTCGCTGAATAAATACACTTACTCAATCGCTGTTGTTTGAATAGAGAAATAGACTATTGCAATTAGTGGAATTACTAGGAATTTCACTGTTATAATATTTTTCGTTTGTTTTAGCTGTTTTCATAATGTAGACAGAGAGATTGCATAAGTCTTTGGTGTTGATTTATATAATAAAAAGCCTATAATAAATCAGTACACTAGATGAGCTAAAATACACCATGTGTCCACATTCTATTGATTTGTGCTTACTGGAGAAAGTGCAGTACCTGAAATGCAAAAGTAAATTTCTCAAATGACAACAATCATTACGATTATACGTTTGAGAAAAAAATAATTTTTATCAGTTTAACCATTACACAGAATGACGAAAATGTGACTAATATTTCATTGACTAAAAAACCTGACTAAAATGCTCATACATTTCATTGAATAAACAAAAACACGACAAGTTTGTCTAAATATGATATGATATGAACTAAAATGTACATTTGAGTAAGACTAAATTAAAAATGGCTGCCAAAATGAATACTGCTGTACGGTTAATTAATAATAATCTTATTGCTAAAATGTCAAGTTTTCTTTGACTAAAACTAGACTAAAATGTTGAGACTTTTAGTCGACTAAAACTTGACTAAAACTAGATAAGGTTGACTAAATATGATAAAAACTAACAAGAAAATTTTAGCCCGGGATTAAGACTAAGACTAAAGTGAAAATAGCTGACAAAATGAGCACTACTTTGGAGCACAGATTTAAATGTGGTCTCTTTTTAAAGAAGACACTTGGCAGATTATTGCTGACAAGAAAAAAAGGACCAAAAAATGCCCAAAAATTGTATAGTAGAAATATTTTCCAAAATATGTTTACTCTGAAACAGTGTGAAATAAAAGCGATAAATCTAAACAAGTTGTATTCCATATTTGAGGTTGATATATCAAAAAATTTGCTTTCAGTAAGATTTTGTTTGGGCGCAATACCAAACATTTCCTTTAGATGAAATTTGCTTCCCATTTATTTCCAATGCGGTCAAAAAAAACAGCACGAAAGGATTAATGGTACATTTATTTCCATTTTATTCCCCCCCATTTTAAATATTTGGGGAATTTTAGCCTCTAAACCTGTTGATTTTTTTAAAACTTGTATACCTTTGCGGTTTCTGTACTGTATTTTAATAGTCACTCTCTCATTGCAGGATTTCTAAAAACATCCCCACCACTAAAGATGTGGAGCCTCTGTTGGAGATTGATGGTGATATTCGTAGTTTTGAGGTGTTTCTTTCGTCACACACCCCTGTTCTCACCGCTCGTGATGTGGAGATGTTCCTACCTTGTACTGTCAACTGAGATCATTGCAGGTACAAACCCACACAAACACGTTTGTCTAGCTATAAATAAGAAGGACATTGTTTTTATATAAAGCTAGAATTCATGCAAACTTACCCAACTACATAAACACTAACTAGAATTTTTCAGTAACGAGCAAGGTGGCAATCAACACTAATTGACAAAATGTTATATTTACTGAAATGTATAGCTTGATGTTTTTTATAGTGTGTATATATGAATTAATTTCATATACAGAAGACTCATTTTTATATTTTGAGGATGTCTCCTGGCTTTTCTTAGATTTAACTGTTTGTATCCCTAAATATCGATAAGTAAATGCACACACAATGCTATATTGCTGTGAATTTCTCTAAATCACTGCAAATATGAGAGATGATATTATCTCATCACATGATAATGGTCAGCTGTGCCGTGCTTTGAGACAGCAGACGTTGCTTGGTGCAATGTGACAATGGACTGTGCAATAAAGGTTTCTTTGTGAACGCATGGAGATGAGTAAGGTCTCAATTGTGTTCACCTCAGGAAATGAAACATCACTGAAGCTCAATGAGCTGCTCGTTTTCTGGGTCACCCAGCCAGTCTTATTTGGTCTGCCTGGGTGACTCATTTATATTATTTCCAACCAAACAAATTCTGACGTATGTTTCAGCCCCTGAGACTTGGACGCTAAAGCAAACGTGGATTTCATTGGGAGCCACGTTTATTTCTTCCAGGTGCGTTTGCGATTTCTGTTGGGAAACATCAGTGTTTTTCTAAGGGAATCAAACCACAAAGGCCTTTCTTTTCTCACATGTAACTTACTATAAATGCTTCATTTGGCTGAAGTCAACTGTGAGTGGGAGGATTTGAATGTCTTTAAAGTGCTGGCCAAGATTTGGATCTAACTTTCTCCTACTCTCTCTCTCTCTCTCTCTCTCTGTCTTTTTCCCTCCTCTCTTCAGATGTACGAGATGCACGAGAGAAGATGCACCTTGGGGGAGTCAGCTATCCCACACTGCCCCTACAAGATGCTTCGGTACGGTGCACTCTACATTTGGGCAGCACTCTTTGGCCTGTTCTCCCACAGGCTCTTTCCCCCCTGCTGGAGTGCTGCCGGCCGCTCAACCCCACAGCAGCTACTTTAGTGGGCTTACTGGACCCCAACACCCCTTCTACAACCGGGTGAGACATCAGTCAGAGACATTGCTTACTGTGTTCAAGCAAAATGCACCTGTGTCTATGGAGTTACTGAAACATACCTATGATAAGTATATAGTAAAATAGGTGCAGGAGCAAAACTCCTATGTTAAAAAAAAAAACACAATTCCCAAATAAATCATGATACTGAGTAATTTTATATTATTGTTATTGTTGTTGTGGTATTATTATTATTAATAACAGTAATATTTCATAAAATATTGTTTTAACATTAATAATAATATTAATTAATAATTATCTTACTACTGTTTTTAATAATTTGTTTTAATTATATTTTATATTTGATCATATTCAGCTTACTAATAATAATGATGATAATGATAATAGTAATATAATAATAACAACAACAATAACAACAATAATAATAATATTTCATAAAATGTTAATAATATTATTAATGTAGTATTAATAAATTATTATTATTATTAGTAGTAGTAGTAAGTATCAGAAATAAAATTAATAATAATTTTACTACTGCTATTAATAATATTTGTTTTAATCATTATATTTTATATTTTATCATATTCAGCTTAATAATAATAATAATAATAATAATCATCATCATCATCATTTAATGATCAGTATTTACTACTAATAACTAAAGGATGATTATGATTATTATGATTATACTTAATATTTTGTAAAATAGAATAATTATAAATACATAAATAAATAAATAATATAATAAATACTAAAAATATTATTATTATTATTATTATTAGTAGTAGTAGTAAGATTATTATTATTATTATTAATAATAATAATTGTACCACTTCCACTAATAATAATGATAATAATAGTTTGTGAAATATTCAATATATATAGCCCAGCCCTAATAAATCTGTTTATAGGCTGTTATGTATGTTTGACCTTCATTGAATGCCTGATGTGGTGCTGACCCTCACCTGACCCTCATTCATCAGATTCCTGAGTATTTGTCTGTTCTCTCCACCTCTATAGCCTTACTTCCCTCATCATGTTTACCACCTGCCCCGACATTACCCTGGCAACCCCCATCACGCCCCCTCACGCCCTGCTACTAAACTCCATAAGGACCCCAGTCTGGGACTAGTAAGTACATAACTAAACGCATCAATGTCACTGCAGCCAGACGCACATTTTAATGCCTAGTCTATATGGACACAATAATGTCTTTATGAGTCATGATATTAAATGTATCGCTCTTTTTTTCTTTTCATGATTTAAGTTCCTTGTGACAAACAGCCTGTGGCTTGTATGCTATAACTTTGCACGCTAAACTCGCAGTGCAGTTTTGTGGTTCTGTAGCATTTTCCCTGAAAAATGTATATAAATGTTTTTAGTTCTCAACAGCCTTTTTCCTTTCCTCCTCACATAGTTTTAGTCTTAAAGGTACGGTAGCCGTTTGATTCTGTGTATGTACATGTTAACCTTTATGACTGGCTAACACTTTTGCATGGCAAATGAGTAATAATCTCTGTCACTTTACAGTCTAGCTCATATTTTAATATCATATGGTTATGACATTATAACCATGTGATTTCTGGCTGGTTAGAATCTGTCTGCATTTCTAAAAGAGCCTGAAAACGATTGTTTTCAATAACATTTCCCATTAAAGACCTGATGGAGTTTCTAGAATTCAGAAGTTACAGGAAAACCCCCATAATTCCTGCCAGACCTCTCCCCTGTCCATACTAAATGTGTGTGTTCTATAACTGTCTTTTATCCTCCGGTTCCTCCTCTTTCATCCATACTGTCTCCCTCCATCAGGATGTAATCAGAGAGGACTCCAGCGAGGGTCTTCCCTCTCCTACATCCCCCTCTATGGTAACTTTAGCAGTGCGTATGTCTGTGTTTATATCTGTGCATAAAAGATGCAGTAGAGCATTTTATTGCCTGCAGACACACACATATACACTTATGATGCTAGTGGCATGTTACACTTATATTGCTGTCCAGTCTCTGCCTGCGCTGCTTAGACCCTAAAGCTTCATCTTGACTTTTTAATGCGTATTTGACTTTGACTTTGTATCAGCAAAATCAGTTAGTAAACAAATCAGGTGGTGCACCTCATTGAAGCAGTAGGATTGGTGATGCTCATTACAAAATTATAATTTGAATGTTATCACTGGTAACTAAGGTTGCAAAAAGGTGTAAAATTTCCAGTAAATTTAGGAAATATTGCAGAAATTTTGGAAACTTTCCAGGTATATATTTTTTGGGAATATACTGGTAACTAATGTTATTTTGTCCGTTGAAAACAACTACAACAACAACAACCCAGAGGTAGTACAAAGTTTGATATGCTACAAGTGAATTCAACCATTCCACTACAAAACTGTAAAATGAATCTAAAAATGCAACTGAAAATCTTTTTAGTAGGCATTTTGACCTTATTATATGTATAAGGTTTTAAAAGAAATTAATACTTTTATTGTGCAAACATTAAACTGATCAAAAGGTACGGTAAAGGCTTACATTATTAAATAAATAAATAAATAAGTCCTGTTCTTTTGAAATTTCTATTCATCAAACAATCCTGACAAAATATTTTCCACAAATATATTAAGCAGCACAATATGGATATTCAATATGTGACCCTGGACTACAAAACCAGTCATAAGTGTCAATTTTTCAAAATTGAGATTTATACATCATCTGAATGCTAAATAAATAAGCTTTCCATTGATGTATGGTTTGTTAGGATAGGACAATATTTGGCCGAGATACAACTATCTGAAAATCTGGAATCTGAGGGTGCAAAAAAATCAAAATATTGAGAAAATCGCCTTTATAGTTGTCCAAATGAAGTTCTTAGCAATGCATAATACTAATCAAAAATTAAGTTTTAATATATTTACAGTAGAACATTTATAAAATATCTCCATGGAACATGATCTTTACTTAATATCCTAATGATTTTTGGCATAAAAGAAAATCTATAATTTTGACCCATACAATGTATTTTTGGCTATTGCTACAAATATACCCCAGTGACTTAAGACTGGTTTTGTGGTCCAAGGTCACATATGGATCCTTCAATATGGGTATTAATAATTAATGTTTCTTAAGTACCGAATCAGGATATTAGAATGATTTCTGAAGGATCGTGTGACACTGAAGACTGGAGTAATCCAGCTTTGCCATCACAGGAATAAAATATATTTTAATTGAAAGCAGTTATTTTAAATTTTTAATAATGTTTCACAATATTACTGTTTTTACTGTATTTTTGATTAAATAAACACAGAGCAGATTCAAAAACATAAAAAAATCATACCAACCCCAAACATGATTTCAAACAAACTTTCTGCATCAAATTAACATTTATTTTACACAATATTCACTCAATTCAATACAAACTTTTTAAAAATGGAAAATGTGCAATATCCGTTGATTGGGGGCTGTTGGAAAGACGCTTCTGTTGCCAGATCGGCCACAGCTGTCTGCTGATGCCAATAATCTCAAAATGGCCAAATATCAGATATCATAAATCATAATTATCTCAGATTAGACCATTACTGATGCTCACTTACTTATCATTCATCCCAATTTATGATCCCTAAAACCACTATTTACACATCTCTCAGCACCTCCAGCATATTCTCCATTCCTGCACATCTGTCATTCTTCCCCATTGTCATAGCCTGAGTCAAGCCGCTGCTTTCTCTCCTAATATTCTGCCCTCCTTCCTTCAGCTCTGTTGTTTTGCTCTTTCATGCCTCAGTCATTTGATCCGCTCTCTGGTCTGTCCCCCCATCGCTGCTTTGTTCTGCGTGGTGTGAAAGGCTGCTACTATCTGAGGCTGGCTGGATTAGCATCAGCAGTGCTGGGACGGCGCGCTGCATGAGGCCGCTCTTATCAGCACAGCGAACCGCTTCCTTCAGCGAACATGTCTTGTTTCCTCCTCCCCGGCCCCTCACGCTAATTACACTCTTATCGCCTGGCTCGAACACTCACCCATCAGGGTGGGGCCGTTTTGGAATTAAACAACTTCTTCTCTGCATGGAGTCGTGAAAAGTCCTCTCAGTTTCTCCTATTCTCGTTCTGTGTGTCTCTTCTGTTCTAAACTCTTTGCCAGTCCGTCCTTTCTGCAAAATGTTGTTCTTTTCATTCTTTTCAAGTTCTCTGTTTGCTTGGCTTTGTCAAATCAGTACTGTGAAATCCGTGCAGGTTGGATGCTGTGAGACAAGCATCTGTCATAAATAATGTTATTGTGTGTACACATTTGATTGATCGCTGATTGAAGCATGTGACCTAATCCCTCCATTCCTCTCGTCCTCTCTCCTGTTCTCAGTCCCAGATTAAATCTCAGCCCTTCAGAACGAAGCAGGTACAAACATTTAAACCCTTCCGTTTTCTTATATTAACTGTGTTATTTTCAGGGCTTCTGCTCATTTTGGCTTGTTTCACTTAAAACCAGAACAAAATGAACAGCCAGTTCTGTCATTGTGAAATTTCTGTTCAAATACACTGTGGCCAAAAGTATGTGAACAAGCGAACATCACATGCTGTCCAGCTCCAGATAGGACAATAACAACTTCCATGCAACCTGTGCGCTATATTTTAAGTCCTCTGAAGCCATTTGATGATTAATGTGAAGGACAGATTGAAATTTAAACTGTTTTTGACTTAAAATGTCTCAAATGTTTTTCTCCATTATATAGGTTCAGACCGGCGTTTCAAGTTTAATTTTAACGTCAGTTTGTTTGAATCTGAGTGCAAATGAAATTTGATAGAATATTAGTAGTGACTATAGATCATTTTTATTCAAAGGTTTCTCCTGGTTGGCTGATTACGTTTCATTTTTCTGCAGTTTCATCCAATTAGCTCTCAAGGCACTGATTTTCTTTTATTTCTTGTGTGTTTTTCTTATTAAACATGCCTGCTGCTGATGAATAGGATTTAAGCACAAATATTTTAGGTGAAAACAACTGGTGTGAAGCTTGGCTGAGAATCCTCACCACTTAATTTTGAACAAAGAATCATGGACATATTTGATATTTTTTGGCTGCTCATCACAGTAGTTGTTTCCAAATCAGACTAACCTACATATAGATACAAGGCCAAGTCACCATCATATGAAGAACAGTTTTATAATGCTAATGCTGAGTCATTTATGGAGTTAACGCTGGCCCCAAATGATTAAATTAGTGAGCAGTTCACTACATGGTTGCTGCATTAGTTAAGTGGGCTGATTATAATTTCACTTTAAAAAATAAATGACATCTATGGATCTATGTAGAACCAAAATCAAGGGTGGTTTTGCAACAATGCCATAGAAGAACCATTTCGGGTACCACAAAGAACCTTTAAGTGAACAGTTCTTAAAAGAAAAAAAAATTATTTGGGTGAAGAATATTCAACATTGAACATTTTCAATTGATCAATCAAATAAAGAATCTTTTTGCACCATAAATAACCTGTTGTGGAATGGAAAGGTTCCATGGATGTAAAAGGTTCTTCATGGAACCATAGATGCCAATAAAGAACCTTTCATTTTAAGATTGTGGAAACTTTTTATTGCACAAAAGATTTTTTATAGTGAAAAAAGGTTCTTTAGATCATTAAAATGTTCTTCACATTAAGAAAAAAACAATGGTTCCTTTGAGAACTGTTCAGTTAACGGTTCTTCGGAGAACCAGAATGGTTCTTCTATGGAATCACAGCAAACTCCCGCTTTTGGATCCTTTATTTTTAAGAGTGTACGTCATACTTGAAGGTCTAATGAGATCAGTGCACAGGCCAAAGATCAACCATAACAGCACAACAAACTGGGTCACCACTGACATCCAGACCACACTGTGTCTACACTACACATACTGCGTCTACACTACACATACTGCTCCCATACATGACTTCAACAGACATACATTTCCATCATATATTGAACCTTCACCCATAACTGCTCAGAGTTCCTTATTCTGTACTGACATTGGATTACTGCTGTGCTTTTTCTTGAGTTACTGCTTTTGCATTGCATGGCTTTGACCGTGCCTCATGCCTTGCTATTCCAGAATGCATTATGACTTGATGGAATGAGTAACTAGTTATTGTATGTGTGTGTAGGGCTCTGATTCTGTGGTTTCTAGTGGATCTCAGGTCCTCCTCAGTTCTCTGAGCATCGATGGCATATGTGAGAAGCTGAAACAGATCCAGGGTCTGGACTCCAGCATGCTGGAGCAGTATATCAGCACAATCAAAAAGGTTTGTTTTGGAGAAGTGTCCTGAAAAGGTCCATTGAAAAGAATGCAGTCCATTTAAAGGTTTGGCATGTGATTTTACTGTGCACTTAATAGGCACTTTCACAGTACACTTTATTGTCCTATTGCTTCTCTAAAGCATTTGAGGTGCAAATCTAATGTTTTTTTTCCTATGACAGCTGTTATACATGTTTGAAAAAGTATTATCTAACAGGATTAACGTAGTATGAAGTAGCTAATTTTAAACATCTCATCTCTGTATCTCCTCCCCTCTAAATTAGGAATTAAGTCATAATTTTCTATAAATAATTTTCTACATTTTAACAATCTGTTGAAATTATATTCAGTGATAAATTATATTGAATACTTCGACGAATATAAAGTTGATAAGAGCAGCATTTATTTGAAAACAATCTTGTTTTTTTGTAATAAAGTCTTTGCTGTAATGTTTGATCAATTTAATCCATCCTTTTTAAAAGTATTAATTTATTTTAAAAAATCTTATTGATACCAAACGAAGTACAAATCAACATTTGGCACAAACTAGCAAGCCCTACTTAAAGAAAGTCATTTCTAATTTCCTAATTTCTTTTAATTTGATTTATTTCATAAAAAAAAATATTTGTTTAATTTTTCAGTTGTTTATTGCTAGAAAATAATGGGTTTTGAATTGTGTTTGAACATGTCCTTATTTTGGCAACAGGGCTGCTAACTTTATATGAAATGAATAGAAAATAAAGCAGCTCTTGTAATATTTTATCTTCTGAAAGTTAGTCTCTTAGTCTTATGCCATATTTGTTTCATGGAAATACACCAATTTCTAAGTAAAAAGTGAAAAACAGGACTGAGACATGGGGTGTGGTAAATTAGTTAATCCCTGTAAATCCATGTTCATCCATTGGAAAAGAGCGGTTTTATCAGCTCCATGTGGTGCATACAGAGGTTTCACAATGAGGCCTTTCTTTCCATTGGACAACGTCTGAAAGAAGCAATGACATTTCTGATGTCTTCATTAGACATGCATTAGTCAACCTGCCAGCTGTGCTGCATCAACCTGCATACCTAAAAATCTCTATTGTGAACTTTGTTTCAACCTTTGACATACTGCTGAGATCAAATTGGTCTACAGTTTGTTAGCTGTTGAATGTCATAATGTTCTTATGTCAAATTCTGTCATCCTAAATGCAGGCCAACATGAACGGCCGGGTTCTGTCTCAGTGCAACCTTGATGAGCTCAAGAAGGAAATGAACATGAACTTTGGAGACTGGCATCTCTTCAGGTCCATGGTAAGACATCAGCTGACTTGTGAGCTGTTCTTTCCTACACATTCAGATCAGATAATGGTCATCTTTCTGTTTGTGGTTTGCAATGTTTAGCGCACAGCTATTCTCTCTATAGTGAAGAAGGCTGGATGGGGTTGAAATAAGGAACACATGTAGCTGTGTTGATCAGATTTCCATTTGCGCTTATACAAACGAATGTTGTGTTGCCAGCAAGCAGGCAGCCATCTGGTCCAAGATGGCTGCTTTCTGGATGAAGGAGGGTTATTGTCAGTGGGAACTCAGTGTCCACTTGAAGATCTGAATAGCTTGACGTTTACAAGAAAATAGCATTCTTTAGGCTGGAAACAAGTCCAAATGGAACGACTCGGGGCTAGTTGTGATATTGGCGTAAGGTTTCACATAGTTCTATGGCCATTCAGCGATTTCACATAAATGCCACAGTAAAACATGTGATTTATTTATTTATTTTTTGGCCTTGTATCCAAGTTGCTTAAAATGAAAGTCTTATTGAAATGGGTCTTGTTTTCTCTGAGTTGGTCAGGTAGGATTCTTGTTTCAGAACATGTTTATTTTTTCATGTTTTAATCCCACCCAAATCAAACACGTCTGTGATATTTAGTAAAAACACTGTCTTCAGCTAATTCAGGGGTCTTCAGAAAAATCTAATTCTTATCATTAGATTTTATTCTCATCCATCCATACATCCATATATAGGCATTTAGACATTACCATAGTGTAAAAATAAATATCGACTTATCCCAATCATTCGTAATATTATAATAATATCGCAAAGACTACCAATGGAACGTTTGGGGTCAGTAAGATTTTAATTTTTTTTAAAGAAATTAATACTTTTATTCAGCAAGGATGCATTAAATTCTTCAAAAGTGGCAGAGAAGACTTGTATAATGTTACAAAAGATTTATAGTTCAAATAAATGCTATTCTATTGAACATTTTATCAAAGATTCCTTAAAAATGTATAATGATTTCCACAAAAATATTAAGCAGCACAGCTGTTTCAACATGGGTAATCATAAGAAATGTTCCTTGAGCACCAAAGCATATGATTTCTGAATGATCATGTGACATTGAAAACTGGAGTAATGACTGCTAAAAAATCAGCTTTGCCATCACAGGAATAAATTACATTTTAATATATGTTGGAATACAAAACAGTTATTTGTAATAATATTTCACAATATTAGTTTTTACTGTATTTTTGATCAAATAAATACAGCCTGGGTGAGCACTTCTTTCAAAATGTTTAAAATTCCATACTTATAAATAGTAGTGTGTCTTTTTCTGGATAGTTTTCATACTATATGCGTTTTAGAAGTCAAGAACACAGGAATACCGTTTCAGTCTGAATTGTCCAGGAACAGACCTTGAACTTGTTGCTCAACTCAATATCACTATAATAGATGAAATTCACTGTTGCTGTTGAATCCATATTAACATTGCTGTATTTGTGCTGCGTTCATCTGCTGTAGGTTCTAGAGCAGCGTCATGTGGAGAACCAGCTGCTGCATGATGAATCGAGAGCGTGCAGCGAGCAGGGCAGCAGCATGTTGACTCAACTCGAACCCCACCGACCCTCTGAAGCGCCATAAGACGTGACCATCAACCCAGAAAACTTCACGTACATTCTCAACCTAAGCTTCGAAGAGCTCAGCGGTGTGGGGCTGGAGGAGCCCGCCAGGCAACACAATGCCCACTGGCTGGTGCGTGGTACTGCTGTGCACACAAACACATTTAGCACTGAAGTACAGCCTATAGATAAATACAGGTGCACACCATGAGAGAACGGCGTAATTATATACATAGAAGCTAACACAAACATATGCGTGCATAGAAATAAAAGAACTTGGGGCTTTTTTTTGTTGTTATTGTGCCTTTTTAACTAATTATTTCAGTATATTCAGTGTTGCATTTTGTTGCTATAGAGGCAGCTTCTCCTTTTCAGTAGTCTCTCATTTGCATGAAATAGCATGTGGTTTACTGGGTGACAAACGAAGTGTTTTCTGACCTGGATGGGCAGAGGAAGTGAAGAGCTGACCACACACATGCTAGCTTTCTATCACACAGAGATAGCTATTTCTGCACTCATCTGTTAACACTTGGCAAGGTGTTGCAACACAAGCAAGAGCTCATAATGGTTTAGATTAGCATCATGTAAGTTGTTGGTGAGCACAGACTTTGTGTGCGTCTCATTTCACATACCTCTGCACTATTTTTACACCATTTTGTAGCCCAAGTAGTGTGTTCACGCTATCGTGTGTATTATGAGTAGCTTAGTGATGTATTGCAAAAGAAAAGACAGAGTGTGGATGTACAGGAAGGGGAGTGGCTAAACATGCTAAAGCTACTGCAACAGAACTGTCCTATAAATGGAACACTGTGAATGGTTCTATGTAGTAAAAAAGTTCCATTTGAGACACGTTAGCCTTCTAAAATTCATAGACTAATTTAGAACACAACTAATGTCTCTCTAAAGGAATAGTTCACTCAAACTCACTGTCATGTTACTGAAACTGTACAACTTATCATGGAATACACCGAGTTACTTATTCCAAGTCTTCTGAAGCCATGTGATAGTCTTGTATGAAGAACAGTCAAAGAATTTCTTGCATAAACATGCCAAGTTTGAACATCTGGAAGTAAAAATGAAGTGTTAAACTGATTCTTTCTTTAAATCCCTAGATCAGTTTTTTTTATTTAATTGAATTACGTTGAATGTGATTAAATAAGTCTGTGTACCGTGAAATAATGGCAAGCGACATCTTTCTGTTTAGTTGACCTCATGGGCTGCATGCAAAACCAAACATATAATGTGACATGTATAATCCGATTCACAAACAGATTACTCTAATGAGCTGCTTCTTTAAAGGGGTCATATGATGCGATTTCAATTTTTCCTTTCTCTTTGGAGTGTTACAAGCTCTTGGTGCATAAAGAAGATCTGTAAAGTTGCAAAGACTAAAGTCTCAAATTCAAAGAGATGTTCTTTATAAAAGTTACGAGTCAGCCACACCTAGCTAAAACGGCTCGTTCTAACACGCCCCCACATATCTACCTCACTATCTGGGAAGATTTACATAACGCCGCCCAAATGTTCACGCAAAGAAAGAAGGCGTAACTTTATTGTTGCTGCCACCGCCATGTTATGAAGACGCTGTGTGTTTCGTTGCGCAAGCGAAAATACTTTGTTTGGCCTTCCAAATGAAAACATGGTTTTATGTTTACGCGGCGCGATGCAACGCAATGCATAAAAAGACAGTATAAGCCATTATAATCAGTAATTATGTCCCCACTGGATGCAACAAATGCCTGGTTTATAATGAGTTTTTAATGTTTTTGTCTTGTCGCGCCAGGACACGGCATCACAGTATGGTAAGGTGTGTAACATTTCTGTCACACGCTTGAGGTATTCGGCCAATCACAACGCACTGGATAGCTGGCCAATCAGAGAACACCTCGCTTTTCAGACCGATGAGCTTTGTAAAAATCGTGGCGTTTCAGAAAGGTGGGGCATAGAGGAGAAACAATAATGTACAGTATGTGGAAAATAGTGTTTTTTGAACATTAAACCGCATAAACACATTTCATTACACCAAATACACAAAATAATGTTCTTTTTAGCAGCATCATATGACCCCTTTAACTGACGAAGGGTAAATTACTGTAAAAGTCTAATAAATGCAAAGGTTCAGAGAAACTCTTCATTCAGGTATCATTACTGCACATTTTCTGTGTTGACGCTGATTAGATTCATTTTTAAAGTTAATACGAATTAAAAATGACCCATCACAGCAAAATCTGTTTCTTAACCAGGATTTCCGACTAGTTTTGCATAAAAGATATTTAAAGGTCCATAAAACCAAAAATCGATGGTTAGTAAAAATAAAATTAGTTATATAAAATAATTTAAGCATAAAATTTATAAGGCCTTTAATATAAAAAATGTAACATAAAACCTCAAATGTATGGTTTACAAATAAAAGTAACTTTTTTTTAAGAATTTAAGTACATTTCATTAACATAAGTAAATTCATTAGGAAACACAATGAAAAATACTTTCACAGCTTTATAAATTTAGGTTAATGTTAATTTTTGCATATACATTTTTAAGGTTTCAAGTTGCATGAATTAACATTAACATATTATAAATGAACATGATGAATTACAACAATTATCCATAGTATAATTATAAATTATTATATAATATTAACCTATATTTAAAAATTGTAATTCGGTGTTGTTAGTTACTGATTAATGCTGACGAATTGAAGCCTATTGTAGTGTTACCGGAAAAAAAATGTATCTGAAAACAAGTCATTATATTACACAACCTTAAATCAAATGCATCTTATTTAGATTTAGGACATTTAGATATTTTTAACTGGAAAACAAAACCAAAATACTGACTAAGAACATGCAGTGTAAAAGTGAGAAATTTCATTGTTGCTGTTTTTGGAGTGGGTGCTAAAAAGCAATAAATGGAAGCTGTGAAGCTCTTTTTAGTTTCTGATTTGTTTAGTGCAAATCCTGTTATTTCATGCTCCGTTGCTAACATTAAAGATCTAGTGTAGGTTGGTCCACAATATTCAAATCCATCACGTAGAGTGGGGATTTAACCACATAGAGTTAGTTGATCGGTGATGTGAAAGCTGTTATTTATTTGGGATTGTGATTGAATGGCCGGTTCACATTCAGGTCATCCTTGTAGTTTGTGTTCTGCCTTGTAGTGTTTTAGATGAGTGAATCTATTTGTGATCAGTGTTACGATAAGAGAAAAACAAGAAATAATAGAGGTTTCTGTAAGGCTTGATTTGTGTGTAGGAGTATCCTCAATGTTTTCTCACATTAATAAACCTCATTCTTTTCAAGTCTTTTCAGAGTTTGTGATGATATAATTGAAATAACTACATTATATTTGAAAATAAAAAACAGACACATTTGAAGTTAATTTGAGGTAACTCTGCTAAATTTAAGCTGTTAGTGTGCCGATGGATTGATCACTAAAATAACATTTAAAAACTTTAGTTTTAAAATCGCATACATTTATGTATGTTTTTTAATGAGACTTGCCAACTGCCAATCTTTTTCCCCATAAATAGTGAAACTGAAAATGATCAAAGGAATGGCCATTGTTTTTCTGAGGTGAAGTCTGGCCGCCAGCAGGTGGCGCACTCTTCATATCAAGAACACTAATAGAGGTTTAGGCAGCATTTGAGAAACACTTTGCAGAAATGGATGAAATAAAGAAGAGCATAGACCATTATCTTTTTTTTTCTGTAGTTAAATAGTTTTCCTGAATTACATCCCACAAAATGACTCACTTACTACACTATAAATTAAATATATTTTTGAATGTCTGAGATGCGAGCATTGTGAATTTATCAGCTTTATTCACAAAATTTGAGTCCAGGGGACTTGGTGTACAATTCTGAATAATTTTAGAATAGCTGAACCTGTAAAACATTATAATAAATTTAAAAAAAAATCACTATCCGGGTCTCCGATTTATTATTTCATGCTCATTAATGGGCCGGCTGACCGACTGTAAACCGACAGACAATTATTTTACCAACTGAATTCCACAAATCAAAAGCTCAAGCATTGATTTAACAGCCATTTCATCCATACACAGATTATACGAATGAACCTGTGGATACGGTTCTACTCCCAAACTTCTCTCAAGAAATGAGTTATCACACAGGAAGTGTGAAAGAGGTAAATTGCAAGAAAAACTGCTAGGCTGTATGATTTGTGGACAGTTATATATTAAGAATAAGCACATTTTTCCCACTATGGACTGGAATGAATGCAGTTTTACACAGCCATATAGCGATAAAAGATTGATTCCAGTTCCTGTCAGTAATAGGTGAATGTGCATGTGTGAAAGGTCAGTGACATGCTTTTGAATCCTGGATATAAAAGGCAAGGTCAATATACAGCACAACACCGGCAGATTTACATTTGTACACACAAGCATAACAGACCAGCATCAAATAAAGCATTTGATTTATTTTGTATAAAAAAAAGAAAAGAAAAGAAAAAAAAAAAAAAAAGTCCAATTTACAATATTACTTTTATAAAAAGTCTCAGCATACAGCATAACACTTTGCAGATACTGACAGTCCAATTTCTGCAACTATACAAGATAAAACTCTGGGAGAGTTCACAAGGTTTCATCATGTCATTTTCAACGTCCAGTCCTTCATGTGCCAAAAGAATTGACAAAAACAGACTTAAACTTTGTACAGTAACTAACCACGTCTTCTCCTATTCACACGGTCTTCACGAAAAAAAAAGGTAAGACTTCTTCTCAATGCAGAGAAAAGGTTCCTTGTGATCATTTACAAGTTTCCCCTCCTATTTTCCGGGAATATAGTGCTTCTTCCTCTTGAAGAAAGGACCAAATAAGTCTTTTTAGAAGATAAATAATCAATGTCCAAACTTATAACACATCACATGGATTGTCCTTTTAGAAGCAAAAAAAAAAAAAGAAGAAAAGTCTCTTGATTCAATTACAGGAAAGAAAGAAAAAACAAACTCCAGACTGAGAACAGAAATTGGAGGAAAAGCCAGTTCCCAGGTCCTGTGTGTTCTTGTGTCTTAACCAAACACCTGCAAAAGATTGAGAAAGAGGCGCATTTAGAGAATGCAAACAGGGCAGAGATCCGGACAGCCTGGCGCCAGAGAGGAAGCCGCAGTTTGAACATTTAACCAAACACTCAGAGACTGAGCAAAACCCTGGGCTCCAGATGTACACGAGCACAACTTCTGCCTTTGCTCAATGCTTGCCTTTCAACCTCCCCTGATGCTTATTACACACTTTATACTACTTTACAGACTATGTGACATAATGGTCCTCAACTAATTTGATTAGACGCTCTTAAAATTAAACACTGCTCTGACTGCATACAGCATTTACAGTATATAACACGAGGCTCATTAAAAACAGTGTGGTCAAGAGCACTTACCTGATTAACGGTAAAGTGTCCTGCTGTCCTCTGTGATCAAGTCTGATTGAAACTCGGGCGCCTAAAGGGTAAAAAATAAAAACGGTTATTTATTAAGTATATTATTAAGTGCAGTTATTTGCACCATCAAACTTGCACATACACATGCAACAAATCAATGTAGCTTTACCATACGCATTAATAACATAAAAAAAGATAGCTAGATCCTAATCTTTCTAAGGACATTCACCTGTAATGAGAGGATGCTGATGTCTGTGTTGAGTGTTGTCAGGGGTGTTCTGGATGTCCCCTGCCCCGCTCGCGGGTGATGCAGGCTGGTGATTGCTGAATTCGAGTCAAGTGCGATCTGCAGGTCCAGGATATAGTCGATGACATGTTGCAGGATTTCCATTTTGCTCACGTTTTTGTTCTGCGGGATACTCGGCACCAGTTCCTTCAGTTTGGAGTAGCAGTCGTTCATGTTGTACAGCAGACTTAGGGGATCGTCCACGGGGGTCTTGCTCCGCGAGATTCCCAGACTGTGCTCCGTCACATTCGCGCTACTTATCCGGAAAGACCTCACTGGGCTTATTGCCTTCATGTCGACACCTCTGTACGAAACGGTTTCGTTGGAAGAATCGCTTTTTGTGTTCGAGATCTCCTCTCCGCACTGGGCTGTTGAAGCAAACGCAGTGGATTAGCGAGCTGTCATCGCTGTATATATACCCAGCTGGGTGGGTTGTTCACGCGCTGGTTTGGATTGCGCTGATTGGTGGGAATGGACGCGTCAGTCATCGCCTTCGCGCAACGCTATTGGCCGCTGCGCTGAGCGATCTAAGCCCGCCCATTTCTTCCGCGTTCTTAACCAGTGAAAGCGCGTGTTCAGGGTGGCGCTGACTGCCTTCAGCTTCCACGGATCATTTCTCAAATCAGTGTACCTGTTTCCGATCAAGAGAATTAGTGACTT